TGCGCAAAAGCGGGTCATGAAGCTTGTTAGGGCTACCATTGTTCTCGGTTTTTCTTAACCGAGGTGTCTGGCAAGCCATTCATCTCGGACGCTGTGTTTAAAAGCTGTTAAGACTTCGGCGTCCAGACAGTCGATGATTTGGTTCTTCTTGGTGAGGAACCTGTTCCAAAGCTTTCGGGCGGACTCTCCGGACTGTTGGATTAATTGTCTGCATCCGGAGGTCAGACATAAGTCCCATGAAAATTGGCCCGAAAAGCATCCTCTAGCTCCTCCCAACTTCTAATTGAGTTTTCGGGGAGGCTTTTCAGCCAGTGCCGAGCTGGCCCTTTAAGCTTGAGGGGCAAGTATTTAATGGCATGGAGATCGTCTCCACGAGCCATATGAATATGGAGGATGAAGTCCTCTATCCAGACTTCAGGGTCTGTGGTTCCGTCGTACGCCTCTATGTTCACCGGTTTGAATCCCTCCGAGAATTCATGATCCAACACCTCATCAGTGAAACATAAGGGGTGTGCGGCACCCCTGTATTGGGATGCGCCATGATGTTCGGACGACTGTAGTATTCGGTGTTGGTTGTGTACCGTAGCGCACTTCCTAGATCCATAGATAGATCTGGTCGCGCCGGATTTTTGACGCAAGTTCTCACGTAGATCGTGTGTTGACTTATGCGTGACTTTGTTAGCCGCTCTATCGCGTTCACAGGGTGGTGGATCTGGCCGGTTGGCCGTATCACTTTTCGGCTGTATGGGCTCTAAGGCCTCATCATCGAATTCCAGTAATAGTTTGCGCTTTGGATAGCTATTTTTATGGTAACTTCCACCATACTTTGTTACTTTATTCCACTTGCTGTTGAGCGTATCTTGTGCGACCTTGATCCTTTGCTTTTGTTTCTTCAGGCTCCTCGCGGTGGCATTAAGCCTTCTGCGGAGGTTATCTTGCTCCAAGTGTGTTTCCAGGATGATGCGTGCATCTTCGTCTGGACTGTTTTCTTCCCTAGACGGGGATTGATGAGGCTTATCTTGGCGTCATTGTGTTCGGACGTCGGATCCGTACTATGTTTGCAGTTTGCATCTTGATCATGCTCTGCCACCGGGGTGGTGCAGTCATCGTTTCTTCTAGAGTCGACTGGACTATTATTTCCTCTTGCACTGTTATCGCTGTTTTTGCTATGGCGGGACTTAGAGCGGTGCCGCTGACGTCGGCGCCGGGGTTGGTTGGAGGGGGCATCCTCCGCTGTCTCTTCGCCATTGCCCTCTCTGGGTGCATCCACCTTGTATACGTCATGTGATGAAGTAGCGGTCCAGCGCCCTGTGGGCGATGGTTCCGGTTCGTCTCCTGCAACGTCGTCCACACCATCGATGTCTTCGGGGTCGAACTCGAGCATGTCGGTTAAGTCGTCGACAGTGGCTACTAAGTGGGTGGTTGGTGGGCAGCGAATTTCTTCGTCGTCCGCATCCCATCCTAGCCGGACATAGTTCGGCCAAGGTCCTCCTGATAGGGAGAGAGACCTTAATGAATTTAGCACATCTCCGAAAGGTGAGTGCTAAAAGATATCCGCAGAAGTGAACTCCATGATCGGTACCCCATCGGATTCGACAGGCACGGATGTAGGCGGCCCGGAGTCCGTGGCCGGAGATGAATCCAGTGGTTCGGCGGCACGGCTCTCGTAAGGGGTGAAGTCAGTATCTGGCTCTATCGCCATTGAGAGTGCGGCCTCTATGGCGGGGTCTATCCCTCCGCTCTCAGACGACGCGGTTTGCTTCGGATTAAAGGCCGGAGTAGCCGCGGATGCGATCTCCCGAACACTGTCCGACGGCATAGTTACGTCTTGCTCATCGCGACTGTGCGGCGCATCCGGCATGGGCTCGAATCCGTCGAAGATCAAGTCTCCGCGGATGTCGGCCGTGTAGTTCAAGTTTCCAAATCTGACCTGATGGCCAGGGGCGTAGCTTTCGATCTGCTCCAGATGGCCAAGCGAATTGACCCGTAGTGCGAAGCCGCCGAATACGAAGATCTGTCCGGGGAGGTAATCCTCACCCTGGACCGCATCACCAGCGATGATCGAAGGAGCCATCAAGCCTTATGGTGACGACACAGTGGAACTCTCAATGAAAGCACCAATGTCGGTGTCAAAACCGGCGGATCTCGGGTAGGGGGTCCCGAACTGTGCGTCTAAGGCGGATGGTAACAGGAGGCAGGGGACACGATGTTTACCCAGGTTCGGGCCCTCTTGATGGAGGTAATACCCTACGTCCTGCTTGATTGTTCTTGATGATATGAGTATTGCAATATTTGATCTACCACGAGATCAGAGAGGCTAAACCCTAGAAGCTAGCCTATGGTATGATTGTATGTTGTCCTATGGACTAAAACCCTCAGGTTTATATAGGCATCGGAGGGGGCTAGGGTTACACAAGGTCGGTTACAAAGGAGGAGATATGCATATTTGTATTGCCTAGCTTGCCTTCCACGCCAAGTAGAGTCCCATTCGGACACGGGACGAAGTCTTCAATCTCGTATCTTCATAGTCCAACAGTCCGGCCAAAGGATATAGTCCGGCTGTACGGAGACCCCCTAATCCAGGACTCCCGCAATGGGCAGTATCAAAAAGCTCAAGGAATTTGCTGACATGATAAGGTTCTGTTTCCATATCATCCCATTCTTCACTCATCAAAATTATCTCGAGGTTTCATCTTCAAAACAATTGACCATCCTGGATAAGGTCATCCACGTAGAACACTTGGTCAACTTGATTGGCAAATGCAAAAGGTTCATCCGGTCATGTAGCTTCTTGGTGTAGCTAGCTAAGTTAGGTTCAGTTGCTTAAGGTGTCAAAACTACGGTAAAATAGTACTCCTTCTGTAAACTAATATAAGAGCGTTTAGATCACTAAAGTAGTGATCTAAACACTCGAGCCAAACATATCGGCAGTTTCACTAAAACTGAGAAAATTTCTGCTTTTAGAAACTGTAGTATTCATTGCTAACGCATCATAATACCGAAGTTTTGCAACGGGGCGGTATTTTGAAAACTTCTGCATAAAAGTTTCATGTAATTTCGTCCAAAGCTTGCAGATTCAGAGATCAGGGGACGCGGGGATGAGGTACCTCTCTGAGCTGAGCAAGGGATGAGGATTGGCGAGGACCGGAGGATCATCAGCTGAGGAAGCGACCGCGAAGCGCACTGGAAGTGGGCGGCTCCAGCAGTCCGGTCGGCAGGGCGCGGTAGTGCGCCAGCTGCGCGCCTGCGCGGACAGTTGCCGACCGGGCGCCAAGCGAGGAAGGCAACAACAAGTCCTGGGTGCCAGCCTTCAGGCCGGTCAGGGTCACAGGGCGGTCTACCGGTGGCTCCGGGCGGCCGGGCAGGGATGGCGAGGCAGACGGCTCGGCTGGCTTCCAGGTGGCGGATCGAGTATTCCTGGGACTGGAGACGCAGGGTTGACCAACTGTGCGTGGCTGCTTAAGAGCATCTCCAACAACCGCGCCAAAAGACGCGCGCGCGGGGTAAACTGACTTTTTAGCGCGCGCGGGACGTTTTCGAGCGCTCCAGCGGTGGCGGGAAATGATTTTGCGCGCGCGTGGGAAAAGGCGGCAGCTCGCGCGCTACATTTGGTGCGCGCGTCCGGCGCGCCTATAAATTGCGGCGCTCACCACGCGGCTATCCACACTGCCACTCGCGCTCTCCCCCACTTCCTCATAGCTCCCTTTGCTTCCTCGCCGCTCCAGCGCCCCGCCACCGACGCGCCACCATGCTGCCGCACCGCCGAGGAGCGTCGAGCTACCGCGGTGTCCGCCAGCGCCCCAACGGCTGGTACTACGCCGAAATCAGGTCCGGCGACGTCCGGCTCAGCCTCGGCACCTTCGAGACTGTGATCGAGGCCGCCCGCGCGTACGACGCTGTGGCGTGGCGCCTAGACAGGCCGCGCGCGTAGATGTACTTCCAAGACGTCCACACGCGCCAGGAGGCGCAGGACGTCGCCCCTCCGCCTCGCCTTATCACGGACCAGGACCGTGCGGAGCACACTCGGCGGCAGCGTCGCCTCCTCATCGTCGAGGAGGACGAGCGAGGCATGGCGGAGTGGCGCCGGCGCCACTCGGAGGACGTCGCCAACGAGCAAGCCCACTGGGCGGGAGGACGGCAAAGCGCCGCACGGATTGGTTGGATAGGCGTCAGTGAAAGGCCCTGGCGTTATCGCAGTGCGATATCGTTGAAGCAGGTGGGCAGTCGATCTTTATGGATAATGATCCTCATTGGGAGGACACGTGGCTCGATACCTCGAACTAGACCAGCGAGGATGATGATGAGGAGGAGGACGACTCGGAGTAGGTTGTAGTTGCACTATCTAGTCGTTTTTTATGTCGTTGCACCGTAGTTTTATCTATCTATACTATGGAACTATGTAAAATATATATGTATCGTTTTTATCTATCGTTTTTTTAATATGTATGCAATGTTCGTGCGATAACGTGCGCTGCATTTTAGCGCGGCTGCTGGAGCTACACGCGCGCTAAATTTTAGCGCGTCTGCTGGAGCCAGCGCTGCCCGACGTGCAAAGTACTTTTTAGCGCGCCGCGCATTGGCCGGCTGTTGGAGATGCTCTGATAGATCTGAGCCATTGATTTGATTAAATAGTGGTCTGATTTACTCTTACCTTCTTATCTTCCATGTGGAAATGAGGGTAAGAGGGAGCATGTTAAAATTATTTTTTGGGTGTGTCTAGGGCACATCTAGATGTGCTCTAATTATTGCACATCTAAGTGAGTGAAGCAAGCATAAAGTAAAAAAAATCAATGACATAGGACTTAGATATGCAATATTTATGGCACATCTAGATGTGTTTTAGCAAAACTGTTACGTTTTTTTTATAAACTTGGTCAAACATAAAACGTTTGATTTTCAGAAAATTAATACATCTTATATTTTCTAATAGAAGGAATAGATCCGTAACAAATTTTCCATAGATATGTAGCACTACTCTAAATTTATTCCATACCCAACAAATGGAGGAGACGTTGGATGAATTCGAGACAGATGAGAACCCAACCAACCATCACGTGCTTGGCTCCTACCTACTCTGCCACGCCGCTACCTACCTACCTACCTCCTGCACCAACAGCGGTATAAACATCCATCCATCGACACCAGGCAAAGATCCACCGACTATCGAGACCAACATGGGTGCCGATAGCAATCTCCGCGTCCTGGACGCCGGCGTGGTCAGGCCGTCCGACATCAACCTCCCGGCGCACTCTCTCCCGTTCACCTTCTTCGACGTAAGATGGCTCCGCCGGCCGCCCGTCCAGCGACTCTTCCTCTACCGTCTCGAACACCACCACCACCACACCGTCCAGCAGCTCATCTTGGGCCTCAAGGCCTCCCTCTCCAAGGCCCTCACTCTCTTCTACCCGCTCGCTGGCCACGTCCGCTTTGCCCCCAACACCAACCGCTACGAGCTCTTCTACCAGCCCGGCGACGGCGTCGCCTTCACCGTCGCGGAGTGCGACACCGACGTCAACGACCTCGCCCGTTCCTCCGACGGCGAGCCCGTGCAGGTCGCCAGCCTCGCGCCTCTCGTGCCAACACTTCCAAACGGCCGCGCCGTGCTCGCCCTGCAGGCCACCGAGTTGCTTGGGGGGCGCGGCCTCGCGCTCGGCGTAACTGTGCACCACTCCGCTGGTGACGGCGCCAGCTCCACCCACTTCCTGCACACTTGGGCCGCCGTCTGCAACGGCGCGGTTGAAATGCCTCCGCCACCCGTCATCGACCGCACGCTCATCGCTGATCCTATGGGCCTCTACGACATCTATTGCAAAGAAATGCCCACTGACGACGGCGAGGTCGAGTTCGTGACCAGCAGCGTGTCCTCTCTCCCCGACGACCAGCTCGTCGCCACGTTCACACTGCCTCAGGAGCTCCTAAGTGGCATCAAGGACACGCTTGCCCGAGAAGCGGCCAGGCTGCACGCTGCGCCCCCGCACAGATGCTCGTCGATGCTCGCGGCCTACAGCTTCATCTGGTCATGCTACTGCCGAGCCAAACAGGAACAGAACCAAACAAAAACTACTTATTTCCTCTTCGCTGTGGATCACCGGGCACGGCTGAAGCCGCCCGTCCCTGCCACATACTTTGGAAACTGCATCAACCCGGCCATCGCCGCCGCGCGCCACGACGAACTCGCAGCAGCCGGAACGGGAGGCCTCTTCACGGCATTCATGGCGATCGCGAGCGCGCTGGAGGAAGAGGTGGGGGAGCGTTCGCAGGAGAGGTGGGATGGATGCATCGAGAGGGCGAGGGGGGCCATGAAGGCCGGCGCGATGTTCGTGGTGGGGTCGCCGAGGTTCCGCGTGTATGACATCAACTTCGGGTTCGGGAGGCCAGGGAAGGTTGTGGCAGTGTCCGCGGCGAAGACCGGCACGATGCCGATGGCAGATGCGCCCAACGGCGTTGCCGGTGTCGAGGTAGGGGTCTCGTTTCCGGCGGGAGGAATGGAGCATTTCCGGCACTGCTTTGACGATGCCATGCATGCCATCGGCATGCAAGAGCAAGTCTATCTTTAACGGGAAAAGTCCTTTAGATGACATGCATGTTCTTGATTGGTGTAGCAGCTTTATCCAAGACATCTACCAGCGCAAGTATCATACTAAGAGTATCATGCACGGGCATTTAAAGAAAAAATAATGTGGTACTGCAATTAACGATGTAAGAGAAGATTGTAATATCATATTATGACACAATATCATTGTAATATCATATTATGATACAATATCATCGGTCATCTTGCCATCACTAGTAGAAAAATGGTCAAACGTGAAGCACATTAGTGCCGGTTTGTATTTGAGCCGGCACTAATGTATACATTAGTGCCGGTTCCAACGGCTAGCCGGGCCGCTTTCATTAGTACCGGTTCGTGGCGAACCTTTAGCACCGGTTCGTGCCACGAACCGGTACTAATGAGAGTGGTGGCAGGATGTTGTCAGACTGGGGCCCCTCCAGCCCCTTTAGTACCGGTTCTTGGCACGAACCGGTACTAAAGGTCGTCCTACATAAACCCTTCGTCCACCCGAGCTCGCTCTGTTCTTCTTCTTTCCCCTCTCCTCTCTCTGTTCTTCCCCTCTTCCTCTCGAGCTCATCACACATTTTGCTCAAAATTTGTCAAGATTTGAAGGCCCCCATCCATTCAAATGATCACAAAGGTTAGCAACTTTGTCCTTTCATCTCTCATTGCTAGATTAGCTCTTGCAATGCTTTATATAATGATTAATTTGTGAGTTTAGTAATTTGGGAGGATATATATATGTGCTAGTCTTTGATTTATATGCAATTTGAGGTCAAAAATAACACTTAGTTTGCATATGTAGGTGTGGTTTACTTAGTGCCTTTTAAATCTCCGTCGTAACCATCGTCGATCACCCGCACCGTCCCGTCGCCGGCACCACCTTGTGGTGAGCCTCTTGTTCATGAAATTTTATATAAAAATTGATATTTGTGTGATTTGGATATATAGTTAATCGTATAATTATCTTACCCGTACGTTGTTTGTTATACATATAGTGCCATGGTTTTGATATCCGTCCCCGTCGGCCCTCGTCCTTGTTATGATTCGGATGTGGTATATATATTCTCTTTTAAAACTAGTTGCATTTCGTGTTTATGACAAATTATGCCCATCAAGTTGACATAGAAATTTTTTCTAGGAGGTATGTGAACCGGAAATTCCAACCGACCCTATTGTCGAGAGGTTAAATTTAGTTGAAAGAGAAAACGAGTACTTGAAAGAAAAATTGAAAAGAATTGAGGGGGAGAAGATGGAATTGGAGTTGCATGTTGCCGATGTCGTCGATGATCACAAGATCAAGATGGAGAAAATGCGCTTGAAGATTAGAAAGATTAGAAAATATGCCATCGATAGTGAGGCTTGGTATCATTATGCTGTTGGATCCATTGTTACCTTAGTTGCGATCTTGATCGCATTTGTTGTTGCATTTAAATGCTTTAGCTAGAGAGTTATTTGTTTTTTGCATTTAAGTGTTGTATGAACTTTATGTATGAACTTGTATTAATTTGGTCTATTCGGTGTTGTGTAATGAAGATGAGCCGGCAATGGATGTACGATGACCGATGCTCTCCCCAGTTTGTTGAGGGCGTGCATACTTTTCTGCTTGCGGCTCAGGCAAACAAGCGGGCGGATGGTTTTATGCCTTGTCCATGTGCTTGCTATAAGAATGGTCACAATTACTCTACGTCAAGAACCATTCACGTCCACCTATTTAAGTCCGGTTTCATGCCCCACTATAATGTTTGGACCAAGCACGGAGAAAGAGGGGTTATGATGGAAGACAATGAAGAAGAAGAGGACGATGACAGCTATCCTGGCCATGGGTTCCCTGAATACGATGATACAACAATGGGGGAAGAAGTTGAGCCGGTAATGCGGGAAGAAGCTGAGCCGGCAATGCGGGAAGAAGCTGAAGAAGAGGCATCAGATGAGCCCGTTGATGATCTAGGTCGGGCCATTGCCGATGCAAAGAGAAACTGCGCAAGTGATTTGGAGAAGAAAAAATTGCAGCGCATGTTAGAGGATCACAAAAAATTGTTGTACCCGAATTGCGTAGGTGACAAGAAAAAGTTGGGCACCACACTGAAATTGCTGCAATGGAAGGCAGAGAATGGTGTATCTGACAAGAGATTTGGAAAGTTGCTGGTAATGATAAAGGATATGCTTCCAAAGGACAACGAATTGCCCGAGAGTACGTACGAAGCAAAGAAAGCTGTCTGCCCTCGAGGGTTAGAGGTGCAGAAGATACATGCATGCCCCAATGATTGCATCCTCTACCGCGGTGAGTACGAGGATTTGAACGCTTGCCCGGTATGTGGTGCATTGCGCTATAAGATCAGTCGCGATGACCCTGGTGATGTCGAGGGCGAGCGCCCTAGGAAGAAGATTCCTGCCAAGGTGATGTGGTATGCTCCTATAATATCACGGTTGAAACATTTGTTCCAAAACAAAGAGCATGCCAAGGCGATGTGATGGCACAGAGAAGACCGTAAGAAAGACGGAAAGTTAAGAGTACCCGCTGACGGGTCGCAGTGGAGAAAAATCGAAAGAAAGTACGGGAAGGAGTTTGCAGATGACGCAAGGAGCGTGTGGTTTGGTCTAAGCGCAGATGGCATTAATCCTTTTGGGGAGCAGAGCAGCAACCATAGCACCTGGCCTGTGACTCTATGTTTGTATAACCTTCCTCCTTGGTTGTGCATGAAGTGGAAGTTCATTATGATGCCAGTGCTCATCCAAGGCCCTAAGCAACCCGGCAACGACATTGATGTGTACCTAAGGCCATTAGTTGAAGAACTCTTACAACTGTGGAATGGAACAGGTGTACGTGCGTGGGATGAGCACATGGGGGAAGAATTTGATCTAAAGGCGTTGCTCTTCGTGACCATCAATGATTGGCCTGCTCTCAGTAACCTTTCAGGACGGACAAACAAGGGATACCGCGCATGCACGCACTGTTTGGACGATACCGACAGTATATATTTGGCTAATTGTAAGAAGAATGTGTACCTGGGACATCGTCGATTTCTTCCGAGCAGGCATCCCGTAAGAAAAAAAGACAAGCATTTCAAAGGTGAGGCGGATCACCGGACGAAGCCTCACCACCGTACTGGTGCTGATGTACATGATATGGTCAAGGATTTGAAGGTGGTCTTTGGAAAGGGTCCTGGTGGACAACCTGTTCCGAATGACGCTGACGGACGCGCACCCATGTGGAAGAAGAAATCTATATTTTGGGACCTGCCCTATTGGAAAGATCTAGAGGTCCGCTCCGCAATCGACATGATGCACGTGACGAAGAATCTTTGTGTGACCCTGCTTGGCTTCTTGGGCGTGTATGGGAAGACAAAAGATACACCTGAGGCACGAGAGGACCAGCAACGTATGCATGGAAAAGACGGCATACATCAGGGTCATGCAAGCTACGCTCTTACCAAAGAAGAGAAGGAAGTCTTCTTTGGATTCCTGCTCAGTATTAAGGTACCGTCTGGCTTCTTGTCGAATATAAAGGGAATAATAAACATGGCAGAGAAAAAGTTCCAGAACCTAAAGTCTCATGACTGCCACGTGATTATAACACAACTGCTTCCGTTTGCATTGAGTGGGCTTCTACCGGAAAACGTTCGATTAGCGATTGTGAAGCTATGTGCATTTCTCAATGCAATATCTCAGAAGGTAATCGATCCAGAAATCATACCAATGTTAGAGAATGATTTGGTGCAATGTCTTGTCAGTTTCGAGTTGGTGTTCCCACCATCCTTCTTCAACATCATGACTCACGTCCTAGTTCACCTATGCGAAGAGATTAACATTTTGGGTCCTGTATTTCTACACAATATGTTCCCCTTTGAGAGGTTCATGGGAGTCTTAAAGAAATATGTTCATAACCGCGCTAGGCCAGAAGGAAGCATCTTCAAGGGCCGTCAAAATGAGGAGGTCATTGAGTTTTGTATTGACTTTATTCCTGACCTTAAACCGATTGGTGTTCCTGAATCGCGGCATAAGGGCAGACTGGATGGAAAAGGCATTGCTAGGAGGGGAACAAATAATATGTATGGACGGACATTCTCTCACTGAAGCACACTACACAGTTCTACAGAATTCCGCCTTGGTGGCTTCGTATATGGATGAACACAAGAATTTGCTACGCTCCAAACACCCGGAGCGGTCTGATGACTAGATTACACGTGAACAAACCAGGAGTTTCGCCAGCTGGTTGCAGACACGTACCATGCATGACACCTCTATTGAAGATGACCTGTATTTGCTGTCCCAGTTACCATCTTCGAATATAATGACTTTCAAAGGGTACGAGGTAAATGGTAATACATTTTACACGATCGCCCAAGATAAGAAAAGCACCAACCAAAACAGTGGTGTCCGCTTTGATGCAGAAACCAAGACGGGAAAGGAAACATATTATGGTTATATACAGGACATATGGGAACTTGACTATCGACGTGGTTTGAAGGTCCCTTTGTTTCGGTGCAAATGGGTCAATATGACACGAGGCGGGGTAACGGAAGACCCGCAGTACGGAATGACAACAGTGGATCTCAACAATCTTGCGTATGCAGACGAACCATTCGTCCTAGCCAATGATGTGGCACAGGTTTTCTATGTGAAGGACATGTCTACCAAGCCAAGAAAAAGAAAAGATAAGGAAGCGAATGCATCGTACGATGAGCCAAAGTGGCACATAGTTCTTTCTGGGAAGAGAAACATCGTGGGAGTGGATGACAAGACAGACAAGTCAGAAGATTATGAAAAGTTTGATGAAATTGCTCCATTCACAGTGAATATTGACCCGAGCATCCCGTTAAATGATGAAGATTTTCCATGGTTACGGCGCAAAGGGACACACGCGAAGAAAAAGTTTCACACCCAAAGATCTGGGATGTGATCGGCTTCACTATCATCATGTTCTTCTGTGTTTCACACCCGGAAGGGAATCTCTGTAATAATTAGGGTAGTTAATTATGTGTTTTGGCATTTGAAACGCAAAGAAATTTTATGTGCAAACAAATTCTTTCATGCCTTTACTGATTTTTAAAGTTAAGTTATTCACAAACTAGTGATTCACACTAATTTCAAATAATTGAAAATTTAAACTATTCAAATTTGAAATCTACGGGCACTAACAGAAAATTTATAATTTTTTGTACCTAAAGCAAAAATATTCACAAAGAAACTCTAAATACACAAAAAACAACTCAAAAATAAATAAAGCAAAAAAATAAAAAAAAAGCCCGCCTACTAGGCCAGAGCGGCCTGCATACGACTAGAAACCCAACCTGTTGTTGGGCCAGGATGCAGGCCCGCAAAGGCCCAGTAGGCCAACAGGGCAGCACAAAACATGTAGGCCCAGTAGGCCTGCTTTGGAGAGGAGTTCGAGAGAGCTACCGCATGGGGGTTTATAAACCAGTGCGGTCGCCCCTCGGCTAGCGAGGTGGGACTAAACTTGCGCACCGCACCTGTGCCAGCGCACCCCCTTTAGTACCGGTTTGTGGCACCAACCGGTACTAAAGGGGGGCCTTTAGTACCGGTTGGAGTCACCAACCGGTACTAAAGGGGGTGCGGTTCCCGCCGCTTGGCCTGGCCAAAACAGGCCTTTAGTACCGGTTGGTGGCTCCAACTGGTACTAAAGGTGCCTTCTATATATACAACACTTACGAAAATTTCATTCTCCCTCTGTTTCTTCCTCTGTTTCCCCATTGAAGCACCGCCCGCGCGCCCCGATCGATCGACGTCGTTGCCGTCGCCGCCCCCGTCCCCGTCGCCGCCCCCGTCCCCGTCACCGCCCTCGTCTCCGTCGCCGCCCCGGGCCCGTCCCCGTCGCGCTGTCCCCGCGTCGCCGCCCCCGCGTCATGCCCCGGCCCGTCGCCGCCCCCGGCCGTCGCCTCACCGTCGCCGTCGCCCCGCTGTGAGCTCTCCCCCTCTAACCCCTCTCCCTCGCCCCCGGCGGCCACCATGGGCACCGCCCCTCCCCGAGCCCATACACACACACAAGCATGATGAACACACACACACACACACACACGTACATATGTATGAATTAATGCATGTATATATTAGTATATATGTATTTTGTATGTTTAATTAGTTTAGATTTTTTAGATTATTATTTTTTCACTAGTATATATGTATGAATGCATGTTAGATGGATATAATTAGTGTTTAATTAGTATGGAATTTTTTTATATAATGTTGTTTTTCAGTTTTTTAATGGATGTATAAAAGTTGTGTTTTCTGTTTTTAGTGTTAGATGCTTAATTAGTATAAAATAGCATATAGAATTTTGACATATGCAATGATAGCATAATTAGTGTTATATAGAAATGTTAGAAATTTTAGTTATCAAAATCCAATCATTAAAAAAATGTTACTTTTTACGGGCATATAGCTAGTATTTGTTCTCGACGATGCCCGGCCCGCATCCTCGACGTTGACACGTCCACGACGACGTCCGACTGACCCATGTCCGGGACTGGGCTCCGCCGGGCTGGCACTGGGAGGTGCTGCCTGGAGGGGCACGCCGCTTGATGAGGAACCCGGCCCCGGGTCCCGTCGTCGACCCTGATCTCGTTTGGTGGCGTTCGCGTGGGCCAGTTTCGGTGCGGAGGGAGCCGGCCCCGCCGGAGGTGGTACGTCGCCGTGTCAGGGAGGAGGACGAGCATGTCCATTGCTACATGGTTGCGTTAGAGGGCGGCAGGTTCTCCAATACCTGGTAGTTTCTTCAGGGATCTCACTTCAGCTATGATCCTGTGAGGGTTCCTTCTCTTTGGGTGTCCAGCGTCCGCGTCGCAGGAACCGCGAGTGTCCTAGATTCTTATGTAGTATTCGATCTTTAATTACCTACCTAGCCAGTGATGTACTATTCAATATTATATATTATTCGAGATGATGTATTCGAGATTATATCTATTATTCGAGACGATGTATTCGAGATTATATCTATTATTCGAGACGATGTATTCGAGATTATATCTATTATTCGAGACGATGTAATTTGAATACTAAATTGTTTTATATTTATTTTGGCATAGTTAAATAAAAGCTATGGCGGACAATACCGACAGAGAGGGAGAACAGACCATGTTCGATATAATACGCGGGCCAGATGATGATCAGAATGAAGAAGATTATGACGGCTCCGAATTTCTAAACAACACCGGAGAGGGTGATATGATATTCGATCGCGACGACCGAATTAATGAAGTCATGAACTACGATTATGACAATAACAAAGAACATGTTGATCCTGAAACAACAAAGACCGGCGAGGTATATATATTTATATAAGCAGGCATCTGGTGATCATCACATGTTTTAAATGAGTTGAAGATATATTAACGAATCGATCTTTCTTCTTTCAGCCATCCGGATCGAGCAAATCTTCAGGTAACAGGACGAAACGAGGCCCGAACAAAAAGTTGAAGGAGGGCGTAAAGTATAATATCGAGGCAATCAGACCTAATGGCGAACCATTAGCGCCTAAGAAGATTGCGGACAAGTTCGTTCGTCAGTGCAGAGTTCTTGTGAAGGACCAATTCCCGATCTCCCTTCAAAAATGGAGAGAGCCAGCAAAGCCACGTCCAGATCTTACTTTTATCGACGACAGACAAAAAAGTCTGCATTGGGATACTCTCATGGAACATTTGACCCTACCAGATCATTTCACAGAAGCAGATATGCAGAAAGTCAAGGACGCTGCTCTTAGGAAGATGGCGGTTGCATTCAAGAACCACAAGAATCGTGAATGGGACAAGTACGTCAAGGGAGAAAGGAAGACTCCAGTATTCGAGGGAACACTAGATAATCAAAGTGCTCATTGGGACGATTTCGTGAAATTCAAGGATTCAGAATTAGTTAAGGAACGGTCGAGAATAAACAAGAAGAATGCCAAAAAAAAGAATAAGTTCCATAAGCTGGGGCCAGGTGGCTACGCGGTGGCAATGCCTAAGTGGGATAAGTCTGAGAAAGAGATGGAGGATGCAGGTGTCACTCCGGTTACTAAGAGCTGGCCCCCCAGGTGCAGGACTTGGTTCTATGCGCATGGGGGGAGTTGGACCCAAAGACAGGCAAAGTTTCGACGAAGGCATGTCTGAACGGAGCCGACGATAATATACTTGTTGCAATAGAAGAGGCTCGAACGGGGGTGTTCCAGCCCAACAGAGAGAATGACGAGCTTACGCGTGCCCTGGGAAATCCTGAACACCCGGGAAGAACACGAGGCAAGGGCGCTATTCCGTGGTATGAGGGGTTTTCGGACTGGAACGCCGACTACAGAACCCGTGCGAGAAGGAAGATTGCGGAGGAGAAGCAGAGGAAGATGGAGGAGGAGAAGAGGAAGCTGGACTATGAACGCCTTCAAGGCCTAGAATCAGCGCACGCGGACTTGGTAGTCAAATTCCAGTGGCAGCAGGAGCAGATCGACTCACTTAGCCAGCAAAGGGGGTCTCAGCAGCTGCAGCAGCTAGCGAATGATCCAGCATTGGATACCACCGCCCCATCCATGCCGAGAAGCAGCGTGGGTTCCGCCCCGTTTGACGCAATGCTGGATAGATACCCCGTGGATGATAACACGGAGAACACTAACTGCGAGCTACATTTCAAAATTAAGAACATCTCCTTGAAGGTGGCGGACGGCGTTGCTTATACAAATTCCCCCGATGCAACCTTCCATTGCAACCCGATTCCAGCAGGCTATGCTCGTGTCGTGGTTGATGAGGTGGTGGACCAATATTCGGGGCTAGAGCTTGACATTTCTGGAGGTGACGAGGAGCACATACTCGGAGATGCCAAACATCGTATCATCCTATGGAGAAAGGATTGCATCATCTTTCGAATGCCACCGACACCGCGTCACCCGACTCCTCGTCGAAGTCCGCCACAGAGTCAGCAGACTCCCGCTCCTCCAAGTCCACCAACGCGTGAGGCCACTCCTCCTCCTCCAAGTCCGGCAAAGTGTCAGGCCACTCCTCCTCCAAGTCAGACACAGCGTCAGACATCCACTCCTCCTCCAAGTCCGGCACAACCTCAGGCCACTCCTCCTCCAAGTCCGGCACAGCTTCAGGCCACTCCTCCTCGTCCAACTCAGCCCCGTCAGCCGTCTCCGCCGCCTCAGGAATCACAGAAGAGACACCCCGCAGCTATGGTGCGTAGCGGTACGAGTCAAGGTCATAGTACAGGAAGTACAGGCGGAGGCAAGCGATATAAATATGGTCCAAACCTCACTACTCCTCTTCCTGAGAGGGCTTACGACAGGACCGAGGAGCAAACCAATGCCATAGTGCGGGCAGAAGTCGACGCCCATTTTGGACCGAAACCGCCACCGCCACCAAGGGAGAAAGTGCCTGTGGAAGTAGTTGACCACTTCATTCGTATGGCTCAACCACCAGCTCCTAAGCCTGTTGACACAGACTATGAGCGCCACATCAGGAAGTTACATCGACAACGTCTACAGAAAAAGGCGAGCTCGAGCTCGAGCAAACAACAAGCAGCTGCCAAAAAATGCGGGAAAACCGTTGCCCAGCTGGGAGAACATGCGGCGCAATCGATCCCTCGCTTGTTGTGCCGCGAACAACACGTGACAGTATGCGCGCCCAATATTACTGTGGGCAAACAGTTTATGTTCCCGAGGTGGGCGATGTGGTAATAACCCAGGAGCATATAATGCAGGCTGAAACTCTCAACATCACTGTTGGACAACTCCTCGAGATCGAGGACATGCCTGTGCTTACAAAGGAGGAAATAAAACGGAAATATGCCCGGGGCCAACCTTTGGTCAAGCCAGAAGAGGTCAAGAAGCTCCCAACGAGAATGTATGAATTGCATCAATGGTACATGGACATTACCAAGAGATCCTATCGAGAGTCCCTCATGGTGCAAGTCAAGAAGGATCATTACTACCATAAGAATGCTGTGACCGTTGAGTATTCTGAACTGTTTCAGTTATACAATCAAGACGCACTCGACAAATCTATCGTCAGTTGCTATTGTCTGTAAGTGATTTCTTTTTGTAATTTAAGTCTCAAGCTAGCTGTAGTGATCCTTTTGATCAATCATTACCTGTAATTATTCTCACTATATTCTTTTCTGTGGTATTATGCAGGATGAAGATGTATGAAATGAGAAAAGGTGGACGCTATGGCATTGGGTTCATTGACCCAAATACCGTTAATGAATACACATGGAAAATAAACAAGCATCATGAAAAGCAGGTAGAGGACAGCATGCTAGAGTTCTTGAAGCGCCTCAAATACAATGAAGATATACTACTTCCTTACAACTTCCAGTGAGTCACACTTTCTTGTACTACAAATTCTCTGTTTTTGCCTACTAGCTTGCTACCTGTTTTTGCTTATATATGCCCGCTTAATTAAGACATGCAAACGTGTGTGCATGCAGATTTCACTGGATCTTGTGTATCATTAAAGTTGACGCCGGAACAGTTGAAATACTGAACTCACTACTCAAAGCAAATAGTGACTATAACATCTTGTTTGGGATAGTGAACAGGTAATTTCAATCATTATTAACTATATATCTCGGCCTATTTAGTTCGTCATGATATGAACTATTTAATAACCCCTTTATTCATTTTCTTTGTCGGCGGGCAGGGCTTGGGCAAGGTTCATCAGCGTCACGGAAGGCGAATGGAAACGACAGCTGAAATGGTTTCGACTCAAGGTAAGTAATTAAGTAGTACTAGCTAGCTAGCTAGCTGCCATCTCTTTAATTATCATGCTTGATTAATTATTATCTGATCAAATTAAATTCCATTCTCGTAATAAAGGCCCTGAAGCAGGCGCAGGGGACTGATCTGTGTGCATTCTACGTTTGCGAGAACATTCGCATGATGGCGTCCGAAAGGAGCAGATCTCAAAGACAGGAATGGGTACGCTTGTCAGAACACTATTCACAATTTTTACACCATTATCGATATCTAGTCACACAACTAATACACATGCATATTGATCTCCTTCTTAACAGTTCACAGAGGTGCGGGACAAGCTCCTAGAAACGGAGCGCGTAGAAGCACTTCAAGAGGAAATAGCGGGATTTTTGCTCGACCAGGTCATAAATCCGAAGGGAGAATACTATTACCCGCTACCGCCCCCATCGACCAAGTCATGAACCACTTCCAATTGTCATCGTGCTCCGAAGGCACCAATTAGGCTAATGCCACTGGCTCCAAAGGCAACATGCATATGTAGGAGAAATTGTATATAACTATACATGTGTGTATGTGTGAATTAATATGGTGGTTTGTGAGACATTGATGATATATATATGATTGGTTCTACTAGAAATTCTATTTATATATATATATATATATATATATATATATATATATGCATAACGTGTACAATGTGTAGTATCGTAAAATACCAGCAAATGAAAAAGAATTAAAATGGAAAACACAAAATTAAATGAAAAAGAAATCATAAAACCAAAAACCCCCAAATATTTTAGTACCGGTTGGTGTTACCAACCGATACTAAAGGGCTCCCGGCCTCCGGAGCTGGCTCGTGCCATGTGGTTGCCCTTTAGCACCGGTTCATGCTGAACCGGTACTAAGGGGGAGGGGGGCCTTTAGTGCCCACACTTTAGTGCCGGTTATGGAACCGGCACTAAAGAGCCTTACGAACCGGTGCTATTGCCCGATTCTGCACTAGTGCATGCTGTTTAATGTCAGAAGTTTACATTTTTTTGCGCTACTTCTATGCTCCCTGAGGATTATTTAAATTTTCCTGTATTTGAGAACCTAAGGACCTTGTCCCTAGATGAATGTTATATTACCGACGATTTTCATGGGGTTGGGGCCTTACTTACGAAACTCGCCTAGAAGCTCACCACATTGGCTAGCCCAATTTTGGTAGCAAACCAAGCATCATCCCTTATTTTTGGCAAGCCTTGGCTTTCCCAATTTTTCAGATTGGTGACTTTCATTATCCATCGAACTTGCATGCAGAAGCAATAAAGTAGTAAGTTTCATGTCCAAAATGACATAAGTTGCAGCAACAATACTAAAAATATAAATAACAGAATCACAATGGAAGTTGACCTTTATTGAGGTACGGTGTCATCAGTTGGCACTATAGAAGCATCTACAGTTTCTCCCTCTATATCTCTTCTCATCCAATTTTGTTTATGATGGGCAATATCAAAAAGCTCGAAGAATTTGCTGACATGATAAGCTTCTGTTTCCACATCATTCCATTCTTCACTCATCAAAATTATTTCGAGGTTTCATCTTCAAAACAGTTGACCATCCTGGATAAGGCCATCCACGTAGAACACTTGGTCATCTTGATTGGCAAATGCAAAAGGTTCATCCGGTCGTGTAGCTCCTTGGTGTAGCTAGGTATAGGTTCAGTTGCTCAAGGTGTCAAAACTACGGTAAAATAGTACTACGAGCCAAACATATCGGCAGTTTCACTAAAACTGAGAAAATTTCTGTTTTTAGAAACTGTAGTATTCATTGCCAACGCATCATAATACCGAAGTTTTGCAACGGGGCAGTATTTTGAAAACTTCTGCATATAAGTTTCATGTAATTTCGTCCAAAGCTTGCAGATTCATAGATCAGGGGACGCGGGGATGAGGTGCCTCTCTGAGCTGAGCAGGGGATGAGGATTGGGGAGGACCGAAGGATCAGCGGCTGAGGAAGCAACCGCGGAGCGCACTGGAAGTGGGCGGCTCCGGCAGTCCGGTCAGCAGGGCGCGTTAGTGCACCCTGCTGCCCGCCTGCGCGGACAGCAGCCGGCCGGGCGCCAAGTGAGGAAGGCAGCAGTAGGCCCCTGGTGTCAGCCTTCAGTCCGGTTAGGGTCACAGGGCGGTCTACCGGTGGCTCCGGGCGGCCGGGCAGGGACGGCGAGGCTGGCTTTCAGGCGGCGGATCGAGTATTCCCGGGACTAGAGAAGCAGGGTTGATCCACTGTGCATGGCTGCTTTCGCTTCGGCACGACACGACGAGCAGGGTAGGCTGTTGCTGGGCTTATATTTTTCTCCAAGCCCATCTCCTATATTACCTATGTGTGGTATACAGGCTGGGCCAAAATTCCAGGGGGCAGCGTGGCCCACCCTGTGCCTCCTCCAATGATTTGGAAAAGAAAGGGACTATACAAAATTTGATTTTTGCTAGAACGGATTTTCGCGCCACACTCCTTGTGTGTAGCAGATATAATTGGCAACACATACATGACAACATATAAAATCTGTTGCAATCTATGTAGGGCACTATGGTCATGAACAACAACTCGACAACGCATATGCTACAACGCTTATATGCGTATCTCTTGTGAATTTTGCAACTTATAGTCAAAACGTTGTAGAATATGTGTTGCTTTATAGGGGGTACCCTTGTAGTGTTGTTCCTGCTCAGGGTTTTGCCGTGGGGGTTCACTCGGAACGGGCCGAGCTCCGTCATGGTGCTGTACCCCCGCGACAAGCATCCCTGCCCACCATTGAGCCAAAGAAGTAGCAGCTTGGAGGCCGCCTCGGAGGGGGCCTCGACGAAGTAGTAGAAGAGCTCCCGGCCGTACTTCTCACTCACCGTGACGTCCGGAGTACTGGTCAAAGTTGATGCGCGGCGGCTGGCCGGGAAGCGCTGTGATCTTGTCGGCCGCCTTGGCGCCCACAGGTGGGAAAGGAAATTGCGCCCGCAGGTGGCTGAAGCTGTTGGCGTCGGCCCATGGGTCGGTCTCCTCGGGCACGTTTGCACCACTGGCCCTGTCAGCTTGTCTCTTCTTGGCTCTGGACTCGATGAACCTCATGAGCTGATCCTCCTGCCAGGCATCTGCGAGTGATGCGCCCAGCAGAACGAGCAACAGGAAGAAGGTAATGGTGTGCCCAACCATTTTAGCTTGTGGCTTTGTGATCGTGTCAAAGATTCGTATGTTGGGGTGTTTATATAGTGTTGGGACATGACTGGAGAACTGTCTAAAGCATGCAACTCGGATTCTCCAAGGTGGCTGCCTACTTGCCTGGTTTGGATTCCCCGGAGATAATTATGAGCTTGCATAACACGAATGGTCAAGTGAGGATAATAGCCAACTTTGTTACATCGAAAGCACCCAACTCCTAGCAGTGGGTTAAAAGCGCCGACGAAAACCAATTTTAACTTGCTGGCTGCCAATTTACGTCGATTAAGACCAAGCTTTTGGAAAGTCTATTTTATGCATTATAAACTTGCCCTCTAGATGGATTATACAGGAATGGTAAATTTTTTGGCGAAAGAGGGTCCAGAAGGACCCGAAGCTGCATTAGTAAAGATAGGTAGGTACCCATGGCAAGTTATATCAGGACCCAAACTAAAAGAAAATAGCAAACTGGCCCATCACTATTTTACAAATAGAACCCTAGAGAAGTGAAGGAAAACACAATTGGGTCCAGTGATTCTTCTCAACGGACACAACCTCATCATTACCGCACCACTTGTGACGACAAGACCTCCGTGAGACAGAGATTCCATCCCGCAGACTCCATGAAGAAGCAACGTTGCCTCCCTTTTGGCTCCATGGTCTGTAGGCAGAAGAATGGTCGCCATACAGGCAACAGATATAATGCCGAGGTAAGTCGATTCTTTTGTCAAGATTTCTGCTTATTTTTTACTTGTATTGTTTAGGCTGATTTTCGACTTGCCCCTTTTTTAGGTAAGTCATTTACTTCTTAAGCTGAACTTTTGACTTAAACTTGTTTGTGGTAAGTCGATTTTTTTCTTAGGCTCATTTTTTGACTTGCCCCTATTTGGGGCAAGTCAGTTTTTTCTATTGGGCTTGAAGCCCTTACGCATTGCTTTTTTTCTTTCTATGCATTTTTTAGCTTTTACTTTTATTTTTTATTCTACCCGAGTTTTTTTTCTACATGGATATTTGTTGCATATTGGATGAGTGGAAATGTACACACCCAAGTACTATACAGTATGTGTGTAAATGACACTAGAATGTGAAAATGACACCATTATATGCTTATTCCTTGCATATTTAAAAAAATGCAGTTTATATGCATATTTGTGCAAGTTTCTTAAAAATACATATTTATGCTTAAAGGGTTATACCAAATGCCAATACTTCATGCTTCCTTACAATACTTCATTGTTTTGATTTTGATTTTGTTTTTATTTTATTTTCTTTCATCTTTAAGAGTAATACCATAATTCATTCCTTCTTATAAAACTTCTTTTTAAGAAATTCAATTATTATATTTTTATTTTTCCATACTATAAAAACACAATTTCTTTGTAAAATATGCGCAAAATTAACCATTATTTATTTATTTTATATTTTCTTCTTAATGGGAATAACAGTGCCACTAATTCATTCTTCCTTAGAAAACTTTATTATTTTGCTTTTTTGCTTTTTATTTCATTTTGTTTCTTCTTTAAAGGTTAAAAATGGCACTCATTCATTCCTTTTTACGAAACTTTCTTTTGCAAATATCCCACTATTATATGTTTATTCTTGCATATTATAAAAAGTGCAATTTTTTATGTATATTGTGTGCCGATTTTGTCAATGTTTGTTTTAGATTTTGTTTTCAGTTTCTTTATTCTTAAAGAGTAATACCAAGCATGCAATTCTTTCTTTCTTAGAAAAACTTATTATTTTCATTTTGTTTTAGTTTTTATTTTATTTTCCTTTTTAAAGTGTAATACCAAAGCCACAAATTTATTTTTCTTAGAAACCTTTGTTATTTTGATTATTTTGGATTTAATTTAATTTTCTTTCTTCTTTAAGGCTAATACTAGTCCACTTATTCACTCCAACTTAGGAAACTTCCTTTTTCATCAAAATTTCACTACTATATGCTTTTTCTTACATATCATGAAAAATTGGTTTTTGTATGTGTTTGCAATTTTATATTGTTTGGTTTAGATATTTTTTATTTTTTCTTCTTAGAGGGTAATACCAATGGCACTAATTCTTTTCTTCTTAGAAAGTTTCTTATTTGGATTGTTATTTTAGTTCTTATTTCATTTTCTTTCTTCTTCGAGGGTAATACCAATGCCACTAGTTCATTTTTCCTTATATAACTTTATTATTTTATTTTTTATTTCATTTTCCTTGTTCTTTGTGGGTAATACTAATGCCAGTAATTCATGTCTTTTTTAGCAAACTTCCTTTTGCAAAAATTCCACTATTATATGCTTATTCTTGTATCTTTTTAAAAACGCAATTTTTTTTGCATCATGTGTGCAAATTTTGTCACAGTTTGTTTTAGATTGGTTTTTCATTCTCTTTCATCATAAAGGGTAATACCAATGCCACTAATTCATTTTTCCTTAGAAATCTTCGTTCTTTTGATTTTATTCTAGTTTATTTCTTTCTTAGAAAAGTTCACTATTTTGGTTCTAGTTTAGTTTTATTTTATTTTTATTTTTAAAGGGTAATATCAATGTCACTAATTCATTATTGTTTATAAACCTACATTATTTTGATTTTTTTCATAGTTTTTGTTTCATTTCTTTCTTCTTCAAGGTAATACAAATGCCACTAATTCATCTTTGCTAGAAATTTTCATTATTTTGATTTTGCCTTAGTTTTTTCACGTTGTTTTTATGTAAGGGAAATATCAATGACACTTATGCAATCCTTCTCAAGAAACTTAAATTCTAATATCATATGTTTATTCTTGCATATTATAGAAAACTATATTTTTATGTAAATTTTGTGCAATTTTTTTGTTATTTCTTTTACCTTTGTTTCTTTTCTTCTTCTTAAAGAGCAATACCAAAGCCACTAGTCATTCTTCTTTAACAAAACTATTATTTTGAATTTTTTTGTAATGTTTATTTCATTTTCTTTATTTATAAAGTGTTAATACCAATGTCACTAATCAATTAATGAGTAATGTACCCCTAGCAACATACATAAGAGTGCATGGGCTGAAACACAGTGACACGGACTGTGCATGGATGTGAAATGCAATGCATGGGTCGTTAGGATTCATGCATGCATGTGCATGTTCTTCTCTAACCTCTATCTACCGCTTGTGATTAAACTCCTACTATTCCACTACTACTTGCTTCCTCGTACCTAGCTAGCTAAGTGAATTAAGAAGCACAACATGTGTGAGGTATATCCCCTTGCTAGGAAAAAGTTATTGACCCCAACTAAGAATTCAGTCCATCGACACCTAGCTACTTTTGTAGAAATTTATAATATTTTACTAGCCTATTAATTTAGTGTCAAGATTCAGTTGTTTTTTTCTATATGCTTTTGGTTTTACGTAAAATCCATATTACAGAGCTCAAAATAACTTGGAAAATTTTGGGGAATTTCTTGGGAAGTAGAAGAGTTCGGAAAGCATCGGAAGATGCCGGGGGGCCCCAGACGGCCAGATGGCGAGGCCAGGGGTACCCCCGTTTGCTTTCTATTAGGAGTGGTTTGGTGACCACCAAGTGTAAGGGTGAAGTAAACCTAGGAATAAGTATTTCCCTCGATTGAGAATCAAGATTTGTTAAACCAGTAGTAGTTTCTGTAACAAAGCATAAAATCATTGGTACATGCACACAAAACACAAGATACTCTTGCCCTCAACGTTTCATGAAGGTTGTCGGTAAATAGTATGGTATGGCAGGGTTAACAGATAGATAAAATAAATAAAATGGTACAACAATGTAAAGTATTTCTAATGATGTTTTCAGTAAAGGAAAATAGACCCCTGGGGCCATAGGTTCACTAGAGGCATCTCTCGAAGCAGCATAAATGTGGTGTGGTGAACAAATTACAGTTGGGCAACGATTAAATTGCTATTTTATATTTATGACTATGGTCATTCATGGCATAATCTTGCATAGGCATTACACCCGTGATATGAAGACCGTTATTCAACTTCATCTACAACTAGTACTCTACCCCAAGACCGCTATCCAGCATGCATCTCAAAGTACTACATTATGACAAACAAATCAATGCAATAAGCATGCTAACATAATGTAGATAGTAAAGCTATCATCTAAGTGTGATAAAGAAACCATCATTTTATCCTTAGTGGCAACAAAACAACATGTGTTCATTCCCTTTTTGTCACTGGGATGAATCACCGCAAGATTGAACCCACTACCATGCATAAGTCGCTCTAAAGAACTGCCAATGATTCTGGGCCAGAGATGACAAATAGATTGGAGAGCATAAATGTCTACTTAATAATGCAGAAAAATTTGAAAAAGATTCAATATAATTTAATGAACAATATGATCATAAAGTAAAAATTTATCATATCCCAACAAACACAACCACCGATTACATCATATTGATCCCGGTCATTTGAGACAGCTCATGAGAACTTTGTATCGAATCACAAGGGGAGAGAGGATGCCATGAAGCTACTGTTATGGACCCTAAGTTCCTAAGGAAATTACTCACACATGGTCATGGTGGTAGCAAGGTTGATGTAGATGGCTCCGGTGATGGATTTCCCCTTTGGCAGGGTGCCAAAATAGGCCTCCAGATTTGGTCTCCCTGGAACAAGAACTTGGGGTGGCGAAAAAATCATGAAAATAATGGTATGGAGAGTTTCTTGAATTATGAGATTTATACGTGAAAGAACTAGTGTAAAGCGGTGGCCAGGGGCCCCACAGGTCCTCCCCATGTTGGTGGCCCCTATTTGTGCCACCTGGTCGTGTGGAGGCCTGGGTGGCCCCCTGTTGCATCATGACATTTTCTGGAATCTTCTGGAGTTGGAAAAAACTGTCAAAAATCCCCGTGGTATTTTAAGCTCCGTATATATGGATTTTCTGAAAAGGTAAAAACATGCAGAAAATAGCAACTTGCTTTGGGCACTCAATTAATACGTTAGTCCAACA